TGAGCTTGATATATATGACGGTTTGTATATTTTTGAGTTCTGAATCAATCCTTGGCATACTATTGAATTCATAATTTTTGTTATTTCATTTATTTGTGTGAATGTTCTTGTTTAAAATTGTTGTTAGATGCCTAGAATCATGTGCTGAGATTGGTGTAAGTAAACTAAGTAAAGAAACTCATGTTAGTATCAACCCATATGAGGTTTTTCAATTTGTTTAAGTCATATTTGCAAATGATCATGAACAACTCATTGTACATGATAATCATGTTGCTATATAAATAGTTCTCCATCTCTTATGCAACAAGAATGATAATATTACCAGAAGAAATGTGTAATACTATGCACATATCTCAGGAGTTTAGTTTAATAGGACTTACATCTTTATGTAAATATATAGTATTGCAATATAATGCGCATCGCTAGTTAGCTATTATTCCTGAATGAAGTACAGGGAAAGATACTTTTAATTAGCAGGCCTATTATTTTCTGTATTAATTTATTCTAATTGTATTGGCTGTAGAAATATTTCTATGGTTGCTTACTTGGTAGTTAGTCCTTTCAGTGAACTTTAATCACTTTCCAACTTTTAAGTTACTAACTTAAATTGTAGTGATTCACTTAATAAGCGTGGCAAGAAGGATGTCGTAAAATGGGGCAAAACTCACTTAATGACTGTCTCGCTGGCAAGAGAAATTGTGGGCTCCATTGTGGTCATAAGTCAAGGACTACCTGTATTCAGACTATAATAGGATTCCTTTGCAAGTAAACACATAGTAATTTTCTCTATGTTTATACTAAGCCCTGTAGCTCTGTGTGCATCTCCACCCAAACGCAGAGAAGATGCATTCTCATGGAGGATACTATTTCGAACACAGATGTGGCTTAAGAAAAGTCAGCGTGTAAAACCGGAACCCATAACGGTACTGAGAGCTTGTTTTAGAGTGAATATAGGACAAACTCCTAAAGCTATTTTAGTCATACCCCCGGATAATAATGCATTGCGCTGGCTGACTTTATTTGAGAAAACATTTAATCCTTGTCACAGTGATCAACATTACATCTGATGTCTAGTCAAAACAGATGACACGTAAATTGCACCCCTGTCAACATTTCACAAAGAGAAGGAAGTTAACTGCAATAAAGCAGAGAAAAGAACTTTTTTTTCCTTTTGACCTACTTGCCTTGCATTCCACAATTTTATGTGTATCCCTCATCTTCCTGCTGTCAGTCAAGTGAGAGAATCAGACTGCCAGAAGAAACCACTGTAATGGCTCTGCCTAGTTTCGAATGCAATAACTGGATTTGCATATGCAGGAACATTAATGTGCTTAGTTTAATAGTCGTTTGGGGTATGGCCCAACCCCAGGAAAGAAACCATATCTAATCTGGTTATAAATCACAGGTGAACATGTAAAACGTGTTTAGGAATCCTGGCTTGTTTTTAATCCTGACTTGCTGTTATTTGGAATTTCATATGCTATGTCATAATGTGATGTATTACTATGTACAAACAAGCCGTTGCCATGTATAAATCAGGTTTTACATTGTGTCGACTTACTGACTGTGGCTATCCAAAAGGCAAAATTATAACCATGACTTGGCATAATATATAAAGCAATTCATAATGTTCTCACTCTTTGCCTTGATATTGGTAGAAGCATTGGTGAAAACAAAAATATAACTAATATATAACTAATTTGACAACCAGCAAGTGTGACTAGCTTATGTAAAAGTCTAAAATTAAAATAAATAATGAGTTCTTTGAAATGCTTCTATGCAGCGGTGAAATCCTCCCGGTTCTATCTGGCTCGCCGAACCGGTAGCGCTGGCAGTGGGATGCTCCGCCCACCCACCGGGACGTCATTACATCCCTTTTTTTTTAACCATCTGAGCAGGGGATTTCACCGCTGCTTCTATGGTTATATATCAGTGCTGTTGTTATTGCCAGAATAGCATATGCTGATTAATTTTTAATGGAGGAAAATTGATTGATTATTGAAAAAAATTGAAAAATTAATTCATTATTTATTCGACAGCAGCAATGAACTAGTGTTTGCTCCTATCTAATGCTCATCAGGATTTTCACAGCCCAGATATGGAAGCCTTAAGAAAAGAAATAAAAAAGGAGGAGGTGAAGGAGAAATTAGTTTAAGAAAAACAAACTTGGAACTAGAAGTAGTTTATATATTTTCATAAATAGTTTAAAAGCAAGTTTTTAAGCTGTTTTATCAGCCAGTTGTATTAAATGTTAATACATTAATCGTTAATATATTAATAGTTCATTAATTAATGGTCAATTAATATTAGTTAATAGACCCAGTTTGGGCTAGTGGTTAAGGCAACAGGCTATGGTGGAGTTCAAATCCTGCCTTAGACATGAAAGCCAGCTGGGTGATTTCGGGCCAGTCATTCTCTCTCAGCTCAGCTCACCTCACAGGGTTGTTGTTGTGTGGAAAATAAGAGACGGAAAGTGTGTTGCATATGTTCACTGCCTTGAATTATTTGTAAAAATAGTAAAGGTGGAATACAAATAAATATAAATATAAAAAGCTGTGTTAACTATAATTGTATTCTTCTTCATCCAATTTATCACTGACATCACACACTGTTTTAAGACTTGAATACTTTCTTTAATGGCAACCACTGGGGATTGATGGCACAGTGGATAAATCCTAGGTCTATCTTTTTGAAAAGGGAAAAATGTAATATTCCAGGTTTTTAAAGTCAGGCCTGTCCATCTTGGGAAATCTGTTCCCCAAGCTGTTATTCAGGAAAAATACTAGAAATAATAGTTCAGTTATCTGACATTACCACCCTTTTGAAAATTAAATGAAGAACAACTCAATAAATCTGAGTCCCAGCAAAAACACTTACAGTCCTAAGATTATTGATCCAGTTTAGATCCAAATATACTTGTCTGTGTGAGATGTGAATACAAAGACATCACAATAGTATCTCAAAGCCAGCTCTTCCCGGCCTAGCATTGTTTAGATAAATTGTTCTAACAGTGCCTGGAACTCCCCTCTATAAAATATTGGTTAAAATAGGGCATAAATCATCTGATTACATGGAAGAGAGGAGAGAAAAAAAAAGACACTTTTATGGGGATACAATGACTGTTCCTCTTTTAAATTTTAAAAAGAACTGAATTATCTGGCAGATGAGGAAAGAAGCTGCCTCCTACATTCTGAAATTGGCAATAGTATTCATTGAGGTTTCTGTCTGTAAACTAATAGCTTGTCAGTCCTTTAAGAGAACCGAGGTCAAGAAACTGAAGCAGCAGAGATTGTAAGAATGCCCCCCCCTTTTTTTGTTGCAAAGTAGAAGAACTGAATCTAAAAAGCCTGCCAGAATTTCTCTCTGTCCCATCTTATAGCAAATTTCTCTCTGTCCCATCTTATAGCTAAATTTAAGTCAGGATTATTTTGAGTTTCTTTCTTATGCATTCTACTTTCTGAATCATCTCCCCCCCCCCCCCATTTAATGTTTCATTGCTCCCTTCCTCCTTTTCAAGGCTAGGTATGCATTTTTTCACACTGTAACTTTCAGGAATCAAATGGGAAATAAATTGAAAGAAGAATAGAATCATAGGGCTGGAAGGGACCGTGGAGGTCTTCTAGTCCAACCCCTACCCAGGGTTGGAGTCCTTATTCCATCAATACCCACAACTCCAGGAGGCAAGCTGTTCAGTCCTTTTCCTCCTCTGTTGGTGCATCTTGATCTCTGTCCATATCTGTAGGCATAGAACTATTTAATTTTGTTTAATTGTACTCCTATAATTAATGTATCTGGCAATAGGCATAGAAACTCTATGAATCAGTTGGCTGATGAAGAGATGCTTAACTAAACAGGAAAACTGAGGAGCGCATTTTTTTAAAATTACGATAAATAGGTCTGCTTATTTGTTTTGATATTGACATTGATTAATTGTTTGCTATTTTATCTTAAACCAATGAAAGGTAGAATGGAATATGAATGAATAACTGATAAGCCCCTAGTTTCCCTGAAAATTGATTCCTTAACTTGCTAATGGCAGCCATATGTGACAGTGTACTTAACTAGTATTTGGAGAGTCCATATATCTCATTTAAGGATATTAAAATCAATAGATAAAAACATCTTTTCTCACAGAGATGAATATGGTCAATTACTCTGAACTAGTAAATGCTCTGGGATCTTTTGCAGTGTTTATTAGAAAATGAACACAAATCTGATCTATGTGGGCAGCCTTCAGACAGTTTTTCTAGGACTCTAAAGAGAAAGATATCACAACTTTTTAAATTTTCAGTTTTCAAAGCGACTTTTTACTTGTAAATTGTTTGTTATCAGACAGAAAGATTTTCTCAATAGATCATGAGTCAAGAGCACCCAACATGGCAGCTCAGTCTCTGAGGAGATGAATTGCTTACAGTTTTGTTCTTTGTACAAACTGTGCACTGTCCTAGACTTGCTTAAAGAATGTGAGTTGTTTGTAAATTAACACATTATATTAATATGTTTTAATACCCAAACAATCAGCTTATTTAGCATGTTATAAAGTGTTTAATTATAAATATATAATAATTATAAAAGTATATAAACATGGAACCAGTACAGCCTCTGATTTCACAAATGAAATTATTCAGTATTGTTTTCTTAATTGGACCTTTCCATTCAACAGTGGAATCGATGTAAAATATTTTCTATTTTCTAGATTCTTCCAAAATGTAGACCAATCTAAATCTCAGGTTTTTCTCCCTACAAATCTCTGTAAATTAAATGTGTGCCAGTGAGTTGAAGAATATATATATATTAAGTTTTTTTTCATATCTTTAGTAACATCATTTGTGAAACAGAAGTTGGCTGTCCGTGCTTGACAGGTATGTAATGAATAACACCTTTGCAATCTTTGTGAACATTAATTGATTTTCATTTTGTTTTAAGGAAAAACATAATTTGAGAAACATTATGCATCCCATGAGTTTGTTCTCACATATCACTTCTTTTGCTTCTCCCAGACCAAGATGAGAGAGCTGCCGAACTTAGAGAGCAAAATGAGAAAACTATTCGCAGTACCCAGACAGCTCTCCGAAACTTCAGAGAGTTTCTCATCTCTAAATATCCTTCAGAAACGAGGGAGATCTACATTATTCCTTGCAAAGAACTAGATGCTTACCTAGCATCATTTTTTGTCGATGCTCGGCAGAAAGATGGTTCAGAATATGAGCCAAACAGCTTGGCCAACTACCAATGTGGGCTGGAGCGGTATCTCAAAGAGCATCGATATGGATACAGCATCACCCGAGACAAGGAATTCAAGAGGTCCCAAGAAGCACTGAAGCAGAAGCAGATGGAACTGAGGTGCAAAGGCAAAGGCAACAAGCCCCACAAATCAATGAAGCTTACTTTTGCCGATGAGCTGATTCTCCGCAAAAGGGGCCTGCTAAGCCGATATAATCCCGAGGGGTTGCTGAACCTTGTCTGGCTCAACAACACAAAGGCCTTTGGCCATTGTACTGGCTTCCACGGGTCAACTCTCAAATGGGGGGACATTAGACTTCGGGTGACAGAGACCGGCTTAGAATACTTGGAATGGATGGGCCAAGATGGCAGTGACGGGAATGCCAAGATTAAGAGGACAGGCACAGATTCCAGAGTGTATGCAACTCAGCACGCTCCACAGACTTGCCCTGTGCAAGATTACAAGGAATATGCGCAAAGGCGTCCCCCCGCGATGCGGTATGAGGATGCCCCTTTCTACTTATCCATTAAGCCAGTTGTTAATCTAGCTGCATTACACTGGTACAATTGTCAGGCCCTAGGTAAGAACAAACTAGCCAAGATGGTCAAGACTATGTGTGAGAAAGGGAATATTCCCGGAAGGAAGACCAACTTCAGTGTGTACCAGAGCTGCAGCACCCTCTCGGAAGCCCAGAGTAACCAGCTGGTGCTAATCTGCAACAACCTAAGCCAACAGGCTGCTCAGTCTGTAGCAAGCCATTCTAGCACTGGCAACTTCATAGTGTCTGCATCTTATGACTCTTCTTCGGATACAGCTTGAAAGGACGCTCAGTGTGACCATGAGGTTCTTGAAGCTTTGGTGTCCGTTAACATGCATTGTCTGTGATCCTATAGTTCTCATCGGACTCGCCTTTCTCCAGTGTTAAATCCCATTATCAAAACATTTATATATACTTATTACATATATAAATATATATATATTTCTTTTTATGAATATGTGAATAGAAATAGCTTAGACTAATTTATATAGTATTTCTTAATGCTGATGGTGAATAAAGAAGCATATTTATGGGGTGCTAATTTAATGGCTGATTATAAAACTGGAAAATAATTTTCAGGCTATCCCGAATTTTAGCATTACCCACATTTTAAACTTTAGTCAGTGTGAAATTTGATTAACTGTCACTTCTTTCCGAAGCAAGATGCAAATTAAAATGTAAGACAATATTGATAATTCTTTATTAAAAGCCCCAATAAACCCTCCCTATGACTGAATAGATATGGAGACGATTAAAAGTTATGATGTTGATATGTTATGTGAAGTTCTTTGAAGGCATCATGAATAAGGGCAAATTTTTGGAATTGCCTCTATACCGTTCGGCAATGCTTTCAGGCATTTGCTTTCATTGCCTTTGAAAAGTGCCCCATCTTCATTTTTAAAAGTAGAATCATCCTCAAATTCTCAAGCCTTTTAAAAGTGGCATGAATTTGGTTTGTGAGAGAATGAAGACAGGAATATTTTTCTACTTTGTTTAGTTCTTTTTGTAGTTAAGCTAGATTTTTTTTTAAAAAAAAATTGTGTTGATGAGGCTATGGAGAAGGAAAAGAATAAAAAAAAGTTGCTATTTATTGCAGTGTTTTCTGTTTACGATTTAGGTCCCTGAATGTCAGTTATGCCAGCTAAGAAAAAGAAAAATGCTAACAAAATAGCAGTTGTTTAAAAATAAAAATACTATTAATTAATACGCAAAAGAAATATCATGGCAAGTAGGAAGACTGTTAATTTTGGAAGGCTTGTCTTTTAGTATTTTCTATTTAGCCACTTCATTTCTGTGTGTTTTAAACATGTTTTTGAACATTGAACTACATTTTAATTTGCTGCATTGAATAACTACAATCCAAAATAGTCTGACTCTGGCTGATTTAAGATTGCTTAACTCTACTGGATTGTGAGCCCTCCACAATGGTGGAGCTCCATAATTGGGATAATTCCACAATTAATTATCAATAACTGCAATATCCATACTTCATGTGTACATTGTATAATTGTGGATCGGATGGCAAGGTAGCTGTGCAGGAGAATAGGTAAGAAATTGCAGAGCAGCTGTCTCAAGGCTCTGTCTCAAGGCCCTGTCTCAAGGGAAGGAAAAATCTGGAAGATCAGTAGTTGTACTAATGGACGTGGATTGCAAACATCCAGACAATTACTAGATGGCAGCCAAAAGAAAGATTGGAATTGATGAATCTTTGATGCAAAAGAAAAGAAACAGCTTGTCTAGTCTTTGCCCTTTTTTTTCTCAAAGAGGGCTATAGAAATACCGCCATATTGTCAGGGTTCCACAATGGGTCACCATGAAACATTTCTTGATAGAGGCAAGAGAAAAGCACTTACTGATTTGTTTATAAAAATATGGACTTGTAATTTAATTGTATCATAGAGAATTGGGGCAATACTTTAAAGCCAGGGAGCAGGTAAAGCTCTTGTAGATTTCCTCCCACCCATCCATTTTAGGCATTAAAGTAGAAGAAGAGTTGCGGATATTAAACACTTGATTAGTGGGTTGCTGGGAACTGGCATTTGCTGCCTATTTTATGCAATAAAATATGTTAAACAGGTCCTGGGGACAAGTGAATGTCATCTGTCCACTCTTCATAAGAGAATAATGTAGTTAAATTCAAAGTGTTGCTTTCGCTTAGACAAACTGGGAGGATGTGTCTTGTTCTGCCTATGAATCCTCTTTCACGGTGATAAACAAATCTTATTTCAAATTATGCATTTCTAATTTCTGCTAGCATTTATCTGACAAGAAATGAATCTTCCTGTAGCAGCTCCTTCCTTGCACACTAACCTTCCCTTTCTTCTCCTGTAAAGTAATTACTTATTCACAGCAATTTATACTTGTCTTCAGCCAGAAAGGCATCTAAAGTGACTTACATATTATTAATTTTAAAAAGGCATCATCCCCATTAAATTACATACATCGGACAAAAGTGATGGGAATGAAAGAAAAGAAGCTAACTTAGCTACGGATCTCTTGAAGTTAGCTGGAGAAGATGGAGCCGTTCCAGCAGCTGTGCCACAAGTCTGATTCCGTCAGGTTTTTCTTCTCCCTGACTTGTTTTCATTCCTGTTGACCGTTGTAGTTTAATGGTCATGCATGCTGATGATTGAATAACTAGCTGGAATGAAAAGTACGGGGAAGGAAGAGGAAGCTGATGGAAGTGGCCTGGAATGGTGCCGATAGAAAGGCTCTTTAAATAATTTAGGAACCAATTGCTAAATGCTAGAATAACGACTTCATGAAGTTGGTAGTGTCATGGTTTAAAGATGCTCTTCTGTCTCAGTACCTGGATGATTTAGCATTATTGAAGGAAGCATGAATTCTGCTTTCGATCACTGAAAAATATACCATAAGTGTATCTCTCCATCGTCTGAAGCACATCAACATCTTCCAGTAAGATAATGATCCTAAACGTATCAGCAAGTCTACAAGAGAATGGATGAAGAAAAAAAATCAGTACTTTGGAAAGGTCCCCTTCATGAGGCAGGTTTAAATAATCTTTTGCTACATTGCAGTTAATCTTCCCTTCTATTCCAACAAAGTCCAAGGAGAATTTAGCTGTATAATATAGGCTGGGTTGTAATTGCTTTATTTTGGAAGGAAGTCAGGTGACTATGACTGTAAACAGATGCAACTGGACCTGCAAATTTTGTGTCGGTTGAGTTTGGGGTTTTTTTACAAGATGGCTGGGTAGCACTTCAACTCAGCAATGTAGAAAAAACCTGTGATTGTACAGTTTGGTCAGTTGTCCTTTAAAATGTGAGTCTCATATTTCTTAATGACCCTCTATCCCTTAAGTAGTGATTTCACTGAAAGAAGTGGGAAGCTTATGAATATAGGTAGTTCTCAGTTAACAATGGTGATTGAACTAGGGAATTCCATCACTAAGGGATGCAGTAGTAAATTGTGATGTTGCATGACTGCGCTGATCTATGACATAGTTTTGGCACTTCTAGTTGCAGTCACTAGGCAAATCTCTGCAGTGTGACATCACATGCACATTCACAACTTCCTGCTGGTTTCCCCATTCATTTCACTTGTCAGAAGCTGGTAATGAAAGTCATAAATCATGATCACGTGACTGCAGGGCACTGTGGCCATTGTAATTACAATCTGGATGTAGTGTTTGCAAAGACACAGTGGATGGACAGGGAATGGATGCAAGTTCAAGGACCAGTTGTAAGTCTCTTCCTCCAGCACTGTCGTAAATTCAAATGGTTGCTGAATGAATAGCTGTTAACTGAGGACTACCTGTACTAGCTAAAAGAGTATTAATTAAAATGTCCATGAACAGTTGTATATCACCTTTCTAGCTTTTTTTGAAAAAAAAATCAGAAGGCACAAGATAGAATCAAACCATTCTAAATTGTTTACAGACTAGCACAGACTTATAATAGGGACCAGACTGAGAATTTAACCTTTGCTTAAAACTTGCTAGTCAATTACGAACTCCTGATCCAGTGAGCAGCCTCTTTCCTTTAATTGTCCCCACATCATGCCTTGCTGACAAGTGTAATTGCTTGGCCTTATTCGTTTGTGACACCACTTTATGTATTGCTTAACATTGAGGTTAATTGAAGGATGTTGGCAAGACTGACAAATGGCAGGGTTTCTACTGAATCTTGTAGATAAAAGCAAATGAACATAGGCGGCTTTATACTGGTCAGTACCTGAAATAGCTTAGAAATTCACAAATGGAAAATCTTGAACTGCTTTTATGCATTTAAGTATTGTATTGCTGGCCTTAGAGAATCATCAGTAGAGGTATCGTGCAATGTAAGAGCAAACATTATTATCTAGTAACATCTATACATCCAACTGCTAGGGAAAAGGCACAGCTTTCAGGAGAGGTTGAAAAGCCTGCAAACCTATTAACATTTTTTGGTGGGAATTTCTAAGTGCTCTATTTAACATTACTTAGATGCGGCCTACATAAATTTGTGATGACGAAAACATCTAGCAATGAAAGATAGGCAAGTATAAAGGGTACAGCATCTTTTATAGACTGCAGAAGTCCAAAAAACCACTAGATGACAGGAAAGAGATACTCAAAGTTTAGTGGATATCTGGGCGCATCAAGTAATCATGTAGAGTTTTTTTTAAAAAATTGGCCTCCTTTATACAAAACTGTGGAACCTCTGTAGATATTCAGCTATGTATGTTGGATCCTCCTGCTTTGTGAACAGCAGAACTTTTAGGAAATAACCATAGTTCTTAATTACAGATTAATTTTGCATCAGACAATACAAATGCTCCCTTAATAAATTAGTTCTAAAACTGAGTTAATACATTGTATTGTTGTATTTTCTTATCCAAGGACAGGCAGCTAGTTGTTTAGGGAACAAATCTATGCACCAAAGCCATTTATCTATTTGTGACCATACCAAAATTTCAATCAAGGGTATTAGATTTTTTTCCTCCTGTATTTCTATTCATGTTAACAGAAAAACGTCTGATTATAAAAAGTATTCTGCACGGATATTAATTTACTTTGGGTAATTAAAGTATTATCCCAGCTCTGCCTAAATAAATTATTTCAAAGCAATTTATTATGGAGACAATGTAAGGGCATTTTTAACCCTATGGATCACTGGAAAACGTGTGAGCATTAAAAATACAGGAGTTAGCTGGTCCAATTCTTCCTAGCAGTTCTCTGCTCTAAAGATATCTTCAACATTTTTTTTTTAAAAAGCAGTGACATTTTGAGAGAAGGGAATATTAACAATAACAATTCTATGCATTGCGTAATCCAGTGGTGTTCCTGTTAAATATGCATGCTTCATAGGTGCATTTGTGATATTTGTAGGATGGATCATTAACCATTGCTGCTATACACATCTATTGTAGCTTTAGTGGAGGAAGGTGGGTGGGAATAGTGTTGTTTACTGGGAGGTTGTGGAAATTCACAGTTCCACAAAATTAATATTTTAATGCCCATATGAGTGCCTCTTTAGAAGGAAAATAATATGTTATATTAGACACATTGTGCCAAACCTTTAGGGTGTGCTGCCCAACACAGGCAGTCAAAGAGCATGAAGTATGTATAGTTACTATTCTGGACACAAATGCTTATTTTTCCTACAAATAATTGAAATAACACTTTTGCAGTACAATCTTATGTATATTTACCGTGCCACTCTAACCTTCCTATAAAATGGAACAGAGATATTAAGAGGAGTAGAAGAATTTCTTGTGCTATGGCAGATGCTTGGGTTTATGAAGAGAAAGACCTACTAATGTAGATGCTTTATCAGTGACGTACTCTTGATATGTCAAGAAACCACAGTGGCATCCCATTTGGCTGCAGTATGGTGGAGATGAGTGATCAGTGTGGAGAAGAATCTTTTAGAATTTTTAGGACCCCTAATTTCTCCTGTGTACCCGAGTTTGGCTGTTCCACCCCATAGTTAATGGTGGAAGAAAAGAGAGAGAAAGAGGTATCTCTACTCCCCACCCTTTATACAGTAAAATGGCAGATGGTTAATACGTTGGTGGTTTGAGTCAATCATGCAAAGTTAGCTTTAAATTCATAGCCTATTTCGTTTTACAGAACCCAGAAAATAAATGATAAGTATTTAATTTGGAAGAAAGTGCTGTAGAGAATATTTAGCTCCTCAGAAAAATACAATTTTAATGGAATCTTAATCAGGAGATACTCCCAAGAGTGTACTTTGCAATAACAGTTCCTAATGGTTCGCTAAACTATTTTCTCAATGTATTATTATAGGGTACCTTTATGCTAGGGATCGGTAGCACTGTACGCCAAGAATGCCGCTTTGTCAAACCAAATTGCTATGATCAAGCTCACTGTTTAGGACCCTGCAGAGATACACAATGTATTGTCATTTAGAACAAACTAAACTGAGTAGGATGGACAATGGCAGACTTGCTAGAAGACAGGAAGATTTGGAAGTACTTAACAGCTTCAGAATTATAACATTGCTAGTGAAGAACAGTAAGCTTAATGGATTTTGCTGCCACTTGTGTGGTTATGCAAAATGGGAGCAGCCTAAATTAAAACACACAAACACAGGGAGGGAGGGAGGGAGAGAGAGAGAGAGAGAGAGAGAGAGAGAGAGAGAGAGAGAATAGTCACCCAATACATGGTTAAAGAATAGAACCTCATGAAATGTTAGTCTTTGTTGATATAGTGGCCATTTTTAAATTGTTACAGGTATAGCACAGAAGGTTTGGGAAAACATATTTTTTTGGGAATTACCAGGTGTTTACTGGCAATTACCAGATGTAAATGTTATAATTAATCACATTTTGATCATTAAGAGCTTTCTCAAGTTGGCAGGCTCCAGATTTTTTGGACTTCAACCTTCCCATCAGGAGAATATAAAAAGCGGGGAAGATTGCATTTTAACCTACTAGCCTATTGTGGGAAGTTGTGATTTAATTATAGCTCCCTAATGTGAATATAGCACATATGCTTAAAAAAAAAGTATGCATAGCCTCTCACAATTTCCTTTGTTAATTTCCTACTGCTAAACAAATCGGGGTCATTAGATTGGGACTGAATGGCAATTTGCTAGTCTTGCAAAAAATAAAAGCAAGAGGACTGGAAAAAGCAACAAAATAAATCTTCACACACTAAAGAAAATGTTTGCCATGTTTGCTTTGGGGAATTTCCTTCCTTCATGTACCTGCACCTCTTTGACACCCCAATACAAAGTGTGTGCAATTTATTAAACAGGGAAGAGCTGTATTCCATGAAATGATTTTAAAACGTGTATCAATCTTTATACAGACAATGATGTGATTCTTGTAAGCAAAATGTAGCTTGTATGTTTGAATATTTTGTAAGACATTTTTATTTTGTATTGGCTAATGATGACTTTTTTTTCCAACTCGTTTTTTTTTCTCCCATGGTTCTATTAAAAAATGATGGACATGGTATTTTTTTTCGAAGTGATTGATTTCTCTGGATGTACAATGTTGACACCTGTTGTGTGTTACTGATTGTTTCAAGGTACCATATGTAAGCAGTCTTAAAATATGTTGGATAAATTTGCACCTTAATCTTCATTTTCATTTCATTTCATTTATTAAATTTTTATAACGCCCTTCTCCTGAAGGACTCAGGGCGGTGAACAGCCAGGATTAAAATACATACAATATGAAAATTAAAATAATTTAAAAATAATTAAATCAATTTGGCTTCCCCAATTTAAAACCCCTTACCCATAAAATTAACCAATTAAAAATTTTAAGCCAGCCTGCTTGCTGAAATAGAAAAGCCTTCAGAGCCCAACGGAAAGTACGGAGGTCCGGGATCAGTCATATCCCTGGGGGTAGCTCGTTCCAGAGGGCGGGTGCCCCCACAGAGAAGGCTCTCCCCCTGGGGGTTGCCAGTCACCATTGCTTGACCAACGGCACCCTGAGGAGACCCTCTCTGTGGAAGCGTATTGGCCGGTGGGAGGTCATCAGTGGCAGAAGGTGGTCTCGTAGATACCCAGGCCCTAAGCCATGGAGCGCTTTAAAGATGAGAACCAATACCTTGAAGCGCATCCGGAAGACCACCAGAAGCCAGTGCAGCTCACGCAGGAGAGGTGTTACATGGGAGCGCCATGTCGCCCTCATAATCACCCGCGCGGCTGCGTTCTGGACCAGTTGGAGTCTCCGGGTGCTCTTCAAGGGGAGCCCCATGTAGAGAGCATTATAGTAGTCCAGGCGGGAAGTAACGAGGGCATGAGTGACCGTGCATAAGGTCCGTGTATCTTGAGCTCATTTTTATCTAACGAAAATTCCTTCAAATGAATCCGACCTAAATAATGTGACAAAAACCTGAGATTCATAGATCTGTGCAGAATATTAAATAATCATGTAGTGAACAAAGGGCATTAAAAAACCTCATTGATTCATCAGGGCCCCTAAGAGAATATTTAGGTCAATGCAAAGCCATCAAAACGCACAAAAATGGTTGATGTCTTAGCACAAGAAAATGCTAAATCAAATTAAAGATAGAAGAAATAAACAAGCCATCTTTACATCTTGAACTGATAAAATACTTTAAAATCGGACTCCCAAATAAAAATTGAGAAACCATAACTGCTAGAACTCTCTTCCTCCATTTAGGTAAAGGTGGACTGCACTACTGTATCAAAATGATATTACAATTCCTCCCCTTGAGACTGCAGCCACTCCCGGCTTCCACCCGCACTCCTGCATTTCCAATTTCTGCAAAGGAGATTCATGATGAAAACATCACAAAGGACTGTGTCATGGACTTTATACCTAGGCAAGGTCCACAAAAAGTATTTCCCATTTCTGAATATTTAACAACAGTAAACAACAATGTGGATGCCTTAAAAAAAACTTGCAAGGTATTTCCCCCAAAATACCCTATATAACTCTAGAAATTATTGAGGAAGCACAAAATATTGATGTTAAGAAGAAGCAGGCTAAACCTGGTCTAGACAAACGCTTAAATTCCAAGTCCCATAAGTATACCACAGAGAGGAATATATACCACATAGAACAGGGATCACCAATCTGTGGTCCGCAGCTTACTACCGGGCTACAGCTACAGGCTACTCGCCACTGGGCCGCATGAGACAGCTGAAGCGCATGCCTCTGCACTCTCACACAGCCCCTCTCACACAGCCCCTCTCACATGAGTGGGAGCTCGCGGCCCCACTCACGGGACCCTCGTTGTGGGCTCTCGCAGCCCCACTTGGACACATGCATTTGCCGCTCCCACATAATCATCCCCTCTTTCTTCCCTGCCCCCCCTTCTGGGCCACCAACCCGGAAAGGTTGGGGAACCCTGATGTAGAAAATCTTCATTATTGTGCAGTAAAAAAGATAGAGGGAAATCAAGAACGAGAGCCTTCAAAGTAACAAGGCCTCTTTACGGATGATTACAAATAAGAGTTATTAGAATACCGACAGGGCCATTATTCTTTCTCTAAGTCAAATTCTCAAGATCAGTATCAACTTCTTGATTACCTGGTGAAATAGAGAATTCTGTTGACATTCCAGAATTGCTGGTACCCCGCTCAAAAGGAACCATCCTTGGGGTATTTTCCAAATCATATTACGGAGCGCAAAACCTGCTGATTTTTCAACTTACACATTCAAACTGAAGTGATGATTCCTTTAAGTCACAAAAGTAAAATGTTGAATCAAATCATCGCAGAGACCTCAGCCCTGCCCTTGACAAAGAGTAGTTTAAATGAACACCTGAGATAACCACGAGAGAAAAATTATGTATGAAGGTCAGGAAGCAGGGCTGATTAACTCCTCTGAAGCACTGCCAAATTGTGAACGAGATGAAATATTGAGAAAATTAAAGAATCCTAAGCAGACACTGTTAATAACACTGCAGTAGAATCTTTGACAGATTGTAAACGGGGGGAGAGAGCAGCAACAATTATAATAGAGAAAATATACCCTTGATATATTTTGAGCCAACCTATGACATAGAGCAGAAAAGAAAACAGAAGAAATTTTATATGATTTATTTGTTTGTTAAATTTCTATGCTGTTCATCTTTCCAGTAAGGCAGCCTTGGGGACTGGGGGAAGGGGGGGGAGGGCTTTCAGACCATAACAAGATAAATAGAAAAGCAATTAAAATGTTAAAATTATGCAAATTTAAAATGTAAAACTATACAAATGCCGGTTTTCATGGCTGAAGAGTGGCAGATTCTGTAGTACCAAAGCACTGTAGCCTCTGGTGATTCCCATTTCATTTGTTGCAAGATCTAGAACATTGCACTTTGATGTCCAGCTTTTAAACCTAGTTACAGCCCTATCCAGTTTGTTGCAAGCTTCCATGATGCAACAGAAAGAAGCTCCTCTGCATCAAATACTCAATTCAACTGAGATGTCTCTGCAATTTTTCTTTCCTACCAAAATACAAGAAAATACCAAGGCCATTCAGAACTTTAGAGTTCTGAAAATGATTTTACTAGACTGGCTTTCATGTTTTACCCTGTGCTGTGATGGTTTTGGGTTATAGTCAGAATTTTCTCAGGAATCTCTAATTTAATAAATATACTTTAAAAAAAAAATTTGCAAGGCAAAATATAATCTGTCAACACACTCCACTCCTTGAAGGAGATGGACCATCTAGAACAGGGATGTCAAACTCAAGGCCCGAGGGTCCGATCTGACCCACAGGGTACCTAGATCTGGTCCGTGGGGCCAGCCTGGAAACAACAAAGGACTGGCCCGCAGTGCCTCTGCTAGTGAAAATGGAGCTCGGGTGGGCCGCATGTTTTTTCCTGGCAGAGGGCTATCAAAACAAACTAAAAACAAAACAAAAGGAGAAATGTTTCCCCTTTTGCATTTGAGCATCCAAGAAGGGACAGGAAAGGAGAAAGGGAAAGAGGAAAGATAGAAAAAGAAGGAAAGAGGGGAAGAGAGCAAGGAAGGAAAAAGAAGGAAAGAGGGGGAAGGAAGAAAAAAGGGAAAGAAGAGGGAAAGAAAAAGAAGAGAAGAGAAGGAAGGAAGGAAAGGAAGGAGGGAGGGAAGGAAGGATGGAAGGGAGGGAGGGAGGGAGGGAGGGAGGAAGGAAGGAAGGAAGGAAGGAAGGAAGGAAGGAAGGAAGGAAGGAGATTATAATGAGAGTGAGGGAGGGTCTCAGGAAAGTTCTGCCTTAGCACTTGGTCACCACAGGTGCCCCCAACATGAGTTCCATGTCACACCCACCATGGCCATGCCCACGCCCCACATTCCCCCCTGGCCCTCCGAGGTCAAAGACAACCCTAATGCGGCCCTCAATGAAATCGAGTTTGACACCTCTGACTTTGAAACATGAAGTTTAAACAAACAAGCAAATTAATGATATTGTAGAATGTAGTGTTAAAAACCTTTAACTTCCATTTACATTTTCTCTCTTCATTTTTTTGTCTTCTGTAATGCCTTGCCAAAATCAGAGATCTGTTTAATTTGTACTTATTTGAATCTTGTATTTTAAATTTTAAATTTTATGTTGTACAGTATGTGATGCTTCAGTCACGAATAAACAAACAAATAAGATTTTGCAATCTCCAAAGTTTCATATTTGCTAGATATGATAAATACAGTGGTAGTTCAGTATTCAACATTAACTGGTTCCAGAAGGCGCGATGAGTACCAAAAACAATGAGTACCAAATAATTTTTTTCTGAGAAGGAATTATATAGTGGGTCACAAGGCAGCCAACATCAACAAGTTTTAGCTTGTGCGTTGAGTACCAAACAACCAAAGAATACCCTGTTTTCCCCAAAATAAGACATCCCCTCATAATAAGCCCAATCAGGCTTTTGAGCGCATGGCAATAAGGCCAAGTGCTTATTTCAGGGTTCAAAAAAATATAAGACAGGGTCTTATTTTTGGGGAAACACGGTGCTAGGACAAAATTTTCAAGTCAAAATGCATTGAGTATCAAATTCGACGAGTTTCAAAGCAGTTAAGTACCAAGGTACCACTGTACCTAATAAACATAACAATGTTTATCAGCTATGGCAAATATTTTCAAAATATCCTTCACACTCCACATAGAAAGACATTTACATTCATGAATAAATAACTTACCCTCAATAGTGATAATAGAACATTACAATAATATCTCTTAGCAGGACTTCTTTTGCATTTAAATATTGAAGCTGTATCTGTGATTCATGCTATTAAACTGCCCTTTATCGTATATCTGACACCTTAAGTTCCTTGTGCCATTGTCAGCAAATTTTCAAATCAATCCCAACCAGCAATTATAGATCAGCTATTGCAAGATTAATTTATAAAAATATCTAGGAAAGTTGTGAATTGTGTAGTTGTTGCTATTACTAGTAGAAGCCACTGAATATATCCTATGTCTCAATTACATTTTGTACTTATCTTTATGAACCGTGCTATTCTTGTCTTATTTTTTCTTGTTATATGATTTGTTTCATTGTAATTTTCACTA